CCAAGAAAGGAAAAAAGAAAAAAAAAAAAAAAAAAAAAAGACATAAGTAAGCTTTGCTGAAAAGTCAGGTAGAATGGTTCTTAATCACTTAGGGAAATGTCTGAACTCCCTCTCCAGAGGATTCAGGATCAATGTACGCTAGATACTTCACAAAAATGCCCTTAAAAAAAAGTAGTCATGGCAGGGTATGGCAGCCCATACCTTTAATTCCAGCACTGGGGAGGCAGAGGCTGAGCGGATCTCTTGAGTTCAAGGCCACCCTGGTCTACATAGTGAGTTCCAGGACAGCTGGGGCTACAGGGAGACCCTGTCTCAAAAAGACCAAAAAAAAAGGTACTGAAAGAGGAAAGCGACGCCTTCTCCTCAAGAGGCTTGCTTCTAGTCCAGTTGGTGAAAGAAGACCTAGGCCAGGAGTGAGTAGAGCAGCAGCTCCACAGTGTGGTGGCATTACCTTCAGACCCCTCACAAACAACTCAACACCCTGACTTTGATGGGTTTTGCATTTTGTTTTTAAACCTAGGGAAAGCAGAAGCAAAATAAGCGAACAACCACGTTCTTCCAGTTCTGCAATGCAGATTCAGGGATACTGTTGTGTACAGATGTTGCCGCAAGAGGGCTGGACATCCCTGAAGTGGACTGGATTGTTCAGTATGATCCTCCAGATGACCCTAAGGTGAGCTGGCATTCCCCAGCTGTCTTCAGAATGACTGTGTAAAGTGCACTGTCCAGGTTCAGAGAAGTGCCCTGTTTTCACCTCCATAAGACTTGCCCATATGGAATAGCGCTGGTCTAGCCTGACTGGTATTAATAAATGTCTGAGACTTTGTGGGGCCCAAAAGGGGTGTGCAAGGAGGTTTGAGGGGAATCAGTAACTTTTAAGTTAGGAGTGCTAGATCCTTGGCATTACATGTCCTATGGGTATCTGAAGGTGTGCATGAGAAGGTAGATGAAGGTCTATAGTTTTTGTAGCAGAATAAGCTGCATCAAGAGTATTCTTGCCAGGTGTGGCCATACATGCCTTTAATCCCAGCACTTGGGAGGCAGAGGCAGAGGCAGGTATATCTCTGTGAATTCCAGTCTAGCTAATGCTATAGAGAGACCCTATCTCTAAAAAGACCAAGAGAAAAAAAAAAGTACTCTTGAGGGCCTGAATTTGGATTACCCAGCACCCATGTAAAAGTCAGCATGCTAGACTGCGTCTGTAAACCCAGTGAAGGAGGGAAGACAAGAGACAGTGGGTCCCAAGGGCTTGTTGGCCAGCCAGCCTAGCTCCAAAAACAAGGTAGAGAGAGACTGAGACATCTGACTTTGACTTCTAGTCTCTATACATCCACACACAAAAATAAAAAAGTACTTTCAATAAACAATCAATGATAAATTGCAAGCTGCATTTAAATGTATTTTCCTAGAAAACCATTTTGAAGATGAGATACACCTAATACTCATCTTAATCATGGTGTTAGAGTGAATGGCGTGTATGAGTTTTCTTGCCTTGGTCATTAACCCTTTCACCCATTCATGGGTGGTGTCTGCAGAGGAAATGGCCCAGTGAGTGCTGGGTGTGGTGGAGGTGAGCTTGGCCCTGCCCCATGATTGATAACTGGGCTCATGAGGAAGTCAGTGCTTTGACCCCATTTTCTTTTCCCACTAAAGGAATATATTCATCGGGTGGGTAGAACGGCCAGAGGCCTGAATGGAAGGGGACACGCCTTGCTAATTCTGCGTCCTGAAGAGTTGGGTTTCCTTCGTTACTTGAAGCAATCCAAGGTAAACACCTTTATTTAGAGCATCATAAGCTGGAATGAGGATTATTAAGAAGCACCATCTATAGAGATGACAGGGGTCTTGAGTTGGTATGCTGTTAAAGCAGGTGCAGCAAGTCACCAGGGAAGACTGCTTCTGGCCCAGTGCTCATTTCCCTCCCAGCTGTCCCCTCGATTCCCTGTTCAGGCTCTCCAACTCCTTATGACCCTGAGTAACCCTTGTCCACTCCCCCAGTACCCAGGCAGTCTGCTGTGCAGCTCCCCATCCCAGTTTCTTACAGAGTGGAGGATCTGTACTCTGCTGTGCCTGCTGCCACCCCCTCCTCCTACCCCTTTCCCTCACTGCCTGGCCTCTGGTCTCCTTCACTGGTAATGTTTTGCATCACAAGTCTTTCATTGAAGGTTATCTTCCACCCTTGCCCCAGCCTCCTGCCACACTCTGGGGCTGGCCCTTTCTATTGCCTTCCTCCATCTGCCTTTTGGGAAAGTGGTTTGTGTTTTTCCCAGTTACCTCCCAGTCAGTCCCCAGCCTACCTGACCTTAGCCTCATTTCATCCTAGCAGAACTGAGTCCCTCCTTGTTGCCAGCCCTTGAAAATGCATGGTAGGACTTCTATTCTGTGACGCTGACACTGGAACACCCGCCCAGCATAGTCTTTCAGTGGTTTTCCTCTACCTGCAACTGGTTGCAGTAGTCTTTGAAGTTGCCTTGTGGCCTCTGCATACTTCTAGATGCTTTTTTCCTGGATCTCCACAATACTTCTGTTTTAACTAGCTGCTGTATGGTCTGCAGCCCAACACACTGTGCCTCCAGGTGTCACTCTATCACTCACCCATCTTCTCAGTCAGACTGCAGGCATGTTTTCTAAGGGGAGACAGGGGCCAGTCTATTTTTCTCCCCAATGCATAGCACAAGCCTAGGTCCTGTGCCTGTCTAGTTAGTAAGAGTTGACAACTGAAAAGCCCTTTTAGGATCCCAGATCGTCCTGGTATAAAGGAAAAGTGGTAGCCATCCTAGGCATGCCATAATCCCAGCACTTGAAAGGCTAAGGCAGGGAGATCACAGCAGGTCCAGCCAGGCTAACAGGGAAACTGTCTGAAAAAGTAAATAATAAATGTCCATCACTACAGATGCCAGAATCCTAGAGATCCCAGAGAAAGGAGCTTTGGCAGCTCTGAGCAGGGTTGGAACCCCCACAGCCCTGCCCTGCACTTTGATTTCCCTCGCTGCTGGTGGGGCTCTTTGCCTTTTTCATTCATCTAAAAATATTAACTGTTGACCACCGTTCTTTAGTAATGTTACACTTTTGTTTTCTAGGTCCCATTGAGTCAGTTTGACTTTTCCTGGTCAAAAATTTCTGACATTCAGTCTCAGGTATGTTTGTTGTTTGATTTCTGTTTCTGAGAAGTCACCCTATCTCCATGCTGCCTTACGGAGTTTTGCTGGGCAGTCACTCCTGAGCGGGCTTATAGATGATAATGGCCTGGACTGTAGATCCTTAGCGTTTGTTGCCTCGTGATTTGCAGGCTGCTGTGCTCCTCCTGTGAGTCCGTGCCCTGCTGGAACTGTAACACTACCTGCTGCTGCTTGATTAGACCAGTAGTCCAAAACCCCAGGCAGGTTTATTAGAGCAAATGTTTTTTTGTAGGTTGACTGTTAAAACATTTGAGGTCTGCTTTTTTATTTCTATTTCAGCTTGAAAAACTGATTGAAAAGAACTACTTTCTTCATAAGTCAGCGCAGGAAGCATACAAGTCATACATACGGGCCTATGACTCCCATTCCCTGAAGCAGATCTTTGATGTGAACAACTTAAATTTGCCTCAGGTTGCTCTGTCATTTGGTTTCAAGGTCCCACCTTTCGTTGATTTGAGTATCCTTTTGTTTGATATTTAGTCGTGCGGGGACTAAGGGACGGGGACCTGATGGGGACATTTGGAGCTTTCCAGTGCATTGGTGTGTGCTTCAACTGCCTGCCAAAGGCTTGGGTGTTCATCTTGGTCAGTATCTGTCTGTGTGCCAATAGCACAGGGCGTGGGGATAGGAAGGGGTCACTAAGAACTAGTCTTTGGGATGGTAGTTACCAGAATAAAGGACTTACATCTCTGTGAGACAAGGAGACCTATGAGGTGGCTCCACAGGTGAAAGAACTTACCAGCAGCCTGATGACTCAAGTTCAGTCCCCAGAACCCAGGGTGGAAGGAGAGAATTGGCTCCCAAGAGTAGTCCTCTGACTCCACATGTCTGCTGTGATTGCATGTGCCTACACTCAACACACCCAAAAATAATAAAAATATGGGGGTCGGGTAGTGAGAATATGAATGTGTCAGTGAAAAGCAGGGGTGTTTGTGCCTTCCAGGTAGAAGCAGAGAGGTGGGCAGTAGCAGGCCTCAGGTGGTTGTCAGGCTGCCGTATCCTCAGAGGAGCAGCTTGAGAGAAAGGTGAGACCTTTCAGAGAATTTCCATGCCAAGAAAATAGTACGTGTTACTCAGGCAAAAGAATACTCAGGCAAAGAGAATACTTGCAGTTGGTTCTATTGCAATGTTTGTGTGTGTGTGTGTGTGTGTGCGCGCGTGTGCACACGCGCACGTATTTTCAGAAGAAAGAACCAGCTAAGATGAGGACTTTTCTTAATGCTACAGCAATAACTCCTGAGGAGACTGGAGGACCAGATTTGGAGTCAGCATCTTCACCCAAGACATTGAATAAAACATGTCCTGTAATGGGTGCATGTTGAATCCTATGACAGGAAGAACCACTCCTTTGTTAGTGAGCCTTTCTGGATTCAATCGCAGTAGACACGACTGGCATTGTGACACTGAGACTACTTTAACGTGTTCTGATTGACCCCTCGCTGTGTTGCTACTTGTCTCCAGTTCACATTGTGTTCACTAATGTGGCCACTGTACCTGACTTTCAGATCATTCCATTTGTTTTAGGATACCAGTTTCTAGCTACTCCTGGTCTCCTGCAGACTCACTGCCAGCCTTAGGTTCCCAAGTTTCCCTTGCTCAAAGTGGGGAGCAGGGGGTCCAGGGACAAGGACAGCTATGTTGGGGTGTTCTCTGTTGTAGCTCATTCTCTTGGTTCCTTGGTCTCCTTAACATTGACTTGTAGATGTGAGCAGTGAAGGCAGGCATAAAAAGAGAGGAGGTGGTGGTGGATTTGGCTACCAGAAGACGAAGAAAGTGGAGAAGTCCAAGATCTTTAAACACATCAGCAGGAAGCCGGCAGACCGCAGGCAGTTCTCTCACTGAACAGTGTCCTTCAACCTGGATCCCTTTGCCCTCATTATCCCTCTCTTCAAAAACAAACTTTTGTAGCCTCCAGTCTTTATGATGATAACATTTTTAATTTTAAATACACAAAACAATTACGACATTCTTTAATGTGAGTCTTTTGTCCCTTTCCTTTCTAGTCTAAGGAGACTTGTGGCATGAATTGCTGTATTAGCTTGCTATAAAAAGGGACTGATACTGGACAGGTCATGATAACACAGAAAATAATGTTGGCTTATTTTTCCTATAAAAAAGCACAGAGTTTTGAAAATAATTCATACACAACTGGAGTAGTGTCATTTGGGGCTAGGAAGATGGCTCATTAAAATGCTTGCTATGCAAGCACCAGGACCTGAGTTTGAATCTCCAGCACTTGCATGAAAATCCAGATAGATACATCTGTAACTCCAGTGCTGTAGAAGCAGAGACAAGCAGATCCCCAGAGCTCACTGTCCAGCCAGTCTAGCCAAATCAGCTCTGGGTTCAGTGGGAATCCTGTCTCAAAAAAATCTGAGGGAGGCGTGGGGTTGTACACCTGTAATCCCAGCAGAAGAAGTGAATCTCAGTGATACTGAGGCTAACCTGGTCCACATAGTGAGTTCCAGGCCACCTTGGGCTCCAGGGAGGCTCTGTTTAATAAATAAAAAGGGAAGAGCAACTGAGGAAGAACTCCAAGCCAACCTCTGGCCTCTACACACATGTACATGCAAATGTGCACACAGAAAGCAGTATATATACTTTGTGTATTCCTGACTGAGTGTATTGCCTGCATGTACGTAAGTGCACCCATGTTGTACAGTGCCCACAGAGGCCAGAAGAGGCTGTTGAATCTCCTGGAACTGGAGTTACAGATGGTTGTTGGCGTCCATGTGGGTGCTGGAAATTGAACCCAGGTCCTCTGCAAAAACAGCCATGTTCTTAACCTGTGAGCCAGCTCTCCAGCCTTAATATTTTTGTTTTTGAAAGAACAAAAGCTAAGGAGATGAGTTCCTGTGCAAGCTTAAGGATCCAAGTTCAAACCCTCAGAACCTACTTAAAAGCCAGGGTGTGTCTTTAATCCCAGTACTTCTACAGGTGGAGACGAGAATCTTAGACACAGGCCAACTAGCTTGGTATATGCTTTGGCAAACTATATCCTGCCTCAAATAAGGTAGAGGGCAAAGACCACCAACACTGTCCTCTGGCCTACACAGGTGTGGAGACATGGCTGTGCCCCCACCCACACAAAGATAGGAAATGACAAGAACTGGGGATTTTCTGTTATATTAATGAAATGCCTGATGGCTCAGCAGTTAAGATGCTGCTACCTAGGTCCCACATAAATGTGAGATGGGCATGGCAGCCCGCCTGTAATTCCAGCCCTGAATCCAGCCATATTGGTGAGCTGTAGGTTTGATGGAGAGACTCTGTCTCAGTAACATGGAAGAGTGATTGAGGATGATTCCCATATCAACCTTAGGCCTCTGTACGCATTCTCCCAGACATAAAAACATGGATGTGCATGTGTGGGACACACACGAAAATGGAAAATCAAAATGAACAAAAATAATGAATGGTGATGGATTAATTGCAAGACAACCTGGATCTGGGGAGCTCTTGTTCAAAGACTAGGGAAACCAACACCCAATTATCAGTCCTTTTAAAATTTCATCCTGAGTCAGTGTGCAGCACACATTAGATTCTTCAGGAGAAAAAGAACTGACCTGAACCAGATCAATACAACCAAACTCCATTTGCAATGACAGTTCAGAGTGAACAAAGGCCAAATAAAACAGCAATCAATGATTTAGTCAGATGTTAGGAGCACTTGGTTTCTAGAGTGTTCTGTGTTACTTATCTACAGAAGAGTTAATTTTGTGGTCATTGAAAACCAAGGTTGCTAGCAGCCTTCTGTGTGCTAGTTAATGTTCAGAGTCCAGTGAAATGTCATTCAGGACCTCAAAATAAGATTTTTTTTTTTTTCTAAAGGGGATAAGAGAGAGCTTATTCTGGAGCCAAATATGAGTGACATGGCCCGGGAACACAGATTCAGGTTACCCCCAAACTCCATGTTCCAGCGTGGTAACAGTTACATTACGTTTTTATAGTAACAGAACAAAGAAAAGTCATAAATCAAGACACTTCAAATACATTGGTGGATACATTCAGTAGGTGGGTCACAGCAAAGTGGGAGGTTTCTACTATAGGTCTCAGATGTTATCTGATGACAGTCTTAGCTTTTTGATTGGTGAGACCTGGTGGTCTGCTAGGATAATACATTCGAAAAGGTTTTTATCTGTTAGTCACAGGATGTTAGATCAGAAACAGAGAAGGGCAAGGAGTGGCTGTTTAGGAGGCTAAGGATGGCTGGAGATAAATGGTAAGTAGGCTGTGGACCTGCAACATTCCAAACTCCCCATTTATTGAAATTCTAATCAGTTCATCATCCTTGCAGGAGAAAGTCCAGTTTGAAGACGAGATTTTTTTCTGGGGACTTTTATTCACACAGTGCTATATATACATATATATTAGGAATTTGTAGTAAAAGAAATATAATGCTTTCATATTCACATTTTCTGTTATTTGAAAGTAATAGAAATGAAATAGTACCCCTCATTTTATCACCTCAAAACATTCAGGAAGGAATAATGTAAACAAATGTGTAGGAATTATGTGTTGAGACAATATCCATTCTTTCAGAGAATCTTTGTGAAATGTTCATACAATCAGTGTTAGGGGTAGGTGAACAGCAGTGAACTCAGCTAACAGAAATAGATGGACCTCCTAATATAGAATGTGAACTTATTTAGAGTGACAAATAATAACCAGGCATATAAGCATATTTTAAGTGGAAAGTAAAGTGACAGAGTTCCCTAAGCAAGAAGTTGAAACAATGAACACGCCAGGTAAAGAACACAAAGTCCATGAAGGAGAAAAGCCTTTTACAACTTTGGGAGAAAAAAAATTAAGCAGTGTGATGAATGGGTGTACAGTGACATGAGAAAGGTTTAGAGAGCTAGGAAAGGATCGAGCCTATAGGGATAGGCAGTTCCTGTAGTGAAGCCACTCTAAGCAGGGAAGTGGGCATGAGTCTGATTTACCCTTTTAGAACACCAGACAGGCTTCGGTGTGGCATTTGGGAAGGAAGCTGGGAGTTCAGAGAGAGTAGCAGCAGTAGAACAGGGAAATGGGCAGATTACATGGTGACACCTCATGTGATGAGTTGGAGTGGGAAGATGACAAGTAGCTTCCAGAGAAACAGGAGAGGTTGGGAATGGTGGTGCATACCTTTAATCCAAACACTCAGATTTCTGTAAGTCCAAGGCCAGCTAGGACTACATAATGAGACCTCTGTCTCAAAAAAAACAAAAACAAAAAACAAAAAACAAACAAACAAAAAAAAAACCAGGAGACTGTGAGAAAGGCAGTTTCACGGGAAAAAGTTGTAGGTTCAGTTCTACCTGGGTGCAGTGGTGCACATTCAAGCACTTTGGAGACTCAGGCAGGATAATTAGTAGGAGTCCCAGGCCAGTCTAGGCTACATAACAAGATCCTTTCTCAAAAAAATTAAATTACATTAAAATAAACCAACAAAAGGGCTGGAGAGATGCTCAGAGGTTAAGAGCTCTGGCTGCCCTGGCAGAGGGCCCAGGTTCAATTCCCAGCTCCACATGGCAGCTAACAACCATACATAACTCCAGCTCCAGGCCATCTGACACCCTCTTCTGACCTCTGTGGGCATTGCATGACACAGTTGCACTTACATGCAGGCAATACACTCATATAATAAAATAAAAATAATAAAATATTTTAATGTGTAAGAAGTTTATGCTTTTTAATAAATAATTTATTGATAATTTCATGCATGCATATAAGGTGTTTTGATCAAATTTCCCCATCACTCTTTTCTGATAACTTCATGTACTCTTTCTTCTTCTTTGATTTATTTATTTATTGATGGGGCTTTTGGCTACTCTAACATTCCCCCTTCTGAAGAGGTAACCCTAAAGTCTTTTAAGGATTAGATAAAAGCTCCCAAATACTTCAGACATTTTTGGCCTTTGGAACAGGGTATGTTGCTAAGAGGCCCAAGGATATTTTGACTTTTAGCTCAGAAACTGGCTACTTTTCTTTGGGAACTTTTTACCCGAACTGCCTAGCCAACTCCTACCTCCTATTCTTATCACACCATCCTCTGAAGAGTTTACCCAAATTGCCAATAGGGAATAGGGACACAGACCACTCTGGCTTCTTCCATGCTGAACAGGGACTCAGGGTGAGGCAATTGGAGTACTCCTTCAGTGGGTCTATCTAAAAGACTCCCAAATTGCATAACTCTTATCTCTAAGGGGAAAAGAAAGTCCTTGAATCGTGAATAGGAGATGTGAAGAAGTACCGGCAAGAGTAATTACCATTACAAGTTCTAGACAGGGAACTAGAAAAAAACAGAACAGGGCAATTTTCAAATGTTCATATGAGAGTCCATTGGAATTTCTTGACAAGGACTTCCAAAAGCATCCCTCTATTGGGTGCCTCTTTTTTTTTTTTTTTTTTTTTTTTGTCTTCTAAGGCTGGACTCTAGAGTGATGGATTAAGGATTTGCTTTCAGGTAAAATAAATAAGATTTTTTAAATTATGTGTATGCATGTGTATATGTAGATTTGTGCACAAGAGTGCAGTTGCTTGTGGAGGCCACAAAAGGATGTTGAGTCTTCTGGCACTAGAGCTATAGGTGCTTATAAGCTGCCTGACATGAATGCTAGGAACCGAACTAGGGTCCTCTGTGAGAGCAGCAAACACTTGTAACTGTTGAGCCATCTCTCCAACCCCTTCACAGTTTATTTAAGAATTAATTGCTATAACACAAAAGCAAACATGAATACTCACTTGACAAAAGTAATGTTGTGTGCATGTATGTATTTAATCTATCAAAGGAAAAGTTCCTATTACTTGGAACCAACTTGCTTCTGAGCATGTTTTTCTCTCTGTGCCATAATTCTGTATTACATTTGAGACCTGTGGTAACCTTTTGTGGGCTACAGGATTAGGGTTCTTGGCTGCCTACATGTCCTAGGGTGGTTCCCCCAGCCTCCGCATGTCTGGTGTCCCTGTTTATATTGTTTTTGTTGAAT